TCATTTTTAAAGAGCAATTTCTTAGGCTTTCAGATAAACGCTTTTTTTCTCTTCTAGCAAAATATTCATTATCAGACACACCATCAACTCCAGTAATTTCTATCATTAGAAGTTTGGTGTACGTATTGAGTTTTTGATCATGAAGACTATTTTGAAAAGTTATCTTTGTGTAATCCAGTTGGGATTTAATGTTTGATTGTGTAAAATGTCTTTATGGAGTCTTGTAAGTAAGTTAAGAATCCATGTGTATAAGGGGATGGTGCTCACCTGTAGCCCAGCTTCTTGGGAGACTAAAACCAGGAGGATTGCTTGAGTCAGCAAGTTCAAGGTCAGCCTGGGCAGCAGGCTGTTAAAGGTACAAAAATGTAAAGATTATAAATTATATTTGCTTTGGATAGTAATTCAGATTATTATAGAACATAGGATAGAGAGTGAAAAAATGAAGCTATTGTGACCTCATTCCACTTCATCAGAGGTATTCTGTTAGTCCTTTTAGTATCCTTCTGGGAATTTCAGTGCCAAGAAAATAATTATATTCTTGAGGAGTAGTGTCATTTACTTGCTGTTTTGTAATTGGTATTATCCCCCTGCCCCCTTAATGCTTCTTCCTATATTGACAGTCACCTTGTTTTTTTAATGTCTATCTCTTATTAACAGAAATCAGTATTTTCTCTTCTTCTTTAACTAAACTAAAAGCTCTGCACTAGACATTAATGATACAGACAGTGTAGAGGAAGCTGAATATCTTATGAGAATTAACCTTAGGGAGAACATAGCATTTAGAACTAAGTATTTAGGACAAACTTTCTTTTCAGTTGTACTGAGGTGTGATTGGGGGAAAAAAAGGTATTATATATTTTAAGGTGTATGATATAGCAAAACTTCTTTTTAACCAACAGTTCTTAAAAGTGGAATGAGGTCCTGGAAGTTTAATAGAGTGGCTCCATGAGGTCATGACAATATTAAATAATCATTGGGTCCCTGTCCCTGTTTTGACATCAGCACTGATGATGTAAAAAGCAAGGATGGCTTAAAATCTGGTTACCCAACATGAATCTAGGCAGTAATTCTGTAATGTACTGGCAATCATTGTATTCTTCCCCACCATGCACTCATAATGAAAAAAGAATGCTTTTAGTATCCTTGGAACAATAAAATTAATTATAAGAGTCTTTACATAGATATCTTTGTGTGGCAGAATGGAAAATACACTTGTCCTCTTGTCTATGGGGGATTGGTTCTAGGACTGCTCCCCCCACCCCCAATCAACAGATGTTCATGTCCCATACATAAAATAAAATGATGAACCAATCAGTGTTCTCCCTCATACTTTAAATCATTGCTAGATTACTTAATACCTAAAAAAATAAAAATGTTCTGTAAGTAATTATTTTATTGTATAGAGAATAATGACCAAAAAAAAAAAAAAAGTTGTGTCAGTTGTGTATTAAACTAGCTATCATTGTGGAATGTTCTTTTTACAGAGAACTACAGACAAACTGATTATTCAGATTTGGGTAATTTGGCAAACATGAAAATCAGTGAAGTAAGCCAGTCACTTCAAGGAAATTAAATGGTATTTGTGACAATGATAAAAATGAGAACTCTGGAAAATTTACAATTCCCTACTGTTACCTTAACAGCTTTCCAGTAAATTTTTATGAATAGAAAGGTGTCTTGAGCAAAAATATTATAACCAAAAATATGAAACTATTTGTTAATATTTTTCTTTCTGTAAAGTGTACCAGTTGAGAAATAAGTACCATGGTATTTTTAAAATATAAGGAAATGAGTTAAAAGCTAAGGTAATTTCTGGGTAGGTGAGTTGGCTAGTTAGAGAACTGTTTTAAGATTACTATGGTATGCATATTTTCTTTTAGTAATTTGCTTAATTAACTTGGACAGGACTTTTAAAGGGGAAAGAAAGCGTGGCTCATACTAGATTTTTTTGTTTTTCCTTCCAAGAAAAATGAAGACAACATTTCTTTGTTGCTTATTACATGGCAGACTCTGTACTAAGTGTTTTCTAGACTGTATACTAACTCAGTCATCCTTCCAGCCCTACTGATAATCCCCTTCTTAACAGATGAAAAACATGCAGCCCAGAGAAATTGCAGAATTCTGTAAAAGTGACAACACAGATAGTAAGGAGTGAACTGGGATTTGAATTTAGGTAATAATCAGCATAGATCTCTTGGTGGGGAGGGGCGGCAGGGAATTGAACCCAGGGGTGCTTAGCCACTAAGCCACATCCCCAGCCCTTTATTTTTTGAGACAGAGTCTGGCTAAGTTGCTGAAGCTGGCTTTGAACTTTGTTTCTCCTGCCTCAGCCTCCCAAGCCAGTGGGATTACAGGTATATGCTACTGTGCCTGGCTAGCCCTCATTTTATAGTTGAAAGTTGTGACACCTTGTATAATGCTGTACCACAACCACTCCTTTTAAACTCAGGTTCTCATCATTGTACTTTTGTAGTTGAACAAACTTTAGAACCTTGCATTATGTACTTAATAGGCTGTTCTCTTAATTTGTGTGTGCATTTTGAAAATAGCTATCATTCCTTTCTACTTTTCCGTTTTCTACTTTGCCTTCATCTTCATTGTTCCACTGCTTTCTGAACAGTGCTGTTTCCTTTTATGCTTTATTCCTTCTTTTCTTTCTGCATTTGTTGCTTTCTTCTGTCTTTCAAATCTGGAAAATTAGCTTTCATTATGCTTTCAGTTTGACAACATTACCTAGTTGCCTCTTTTGTAATTTCAGTTAATGTAATCCAGTGATCGCTACTTTCCCTTACAGTTGAAAAAGACCCCATCTATCATCCCCTCACCCCCACCACCACTCCGGGCTTTGTTTTTGATAGGCATGCACTCTACCACTGAGCTACATCCTCATTCTCGGCCCTTTTTTAAAACATTATTGAGACACGGGCTCTATTAAGTTCTTCAAGACTGGCCTGGAACTTGGCAATCTACCTGTTTCAGCCTCCCAGGTAGTTGATGTTGTAGGCATGTACCATTGCCCTTTTTTAAATCCCATCTAAGTGATCTCTCAATAAGTTGCTGAGGCTGGCTCCAAACTTTGATCCTCCTGCCTCAGCCTCTTAAACCTCTGGGATTACAGGTGAATGCACCACTGAGCCCAGCTTGGCTGAACTCTTAATGGGCATTTCTTCACTTGGCATTGGCTGGAACCACTCATTGCTACATTCAGCTACGATTTCAATTGAGACTGAAATATCTTAATTAACATGGCTTCACTTGCATTTGCAGTGACTGGGGGTGGCATGCATGTCATTCTTTTTAATAGGATAGTTTAACTTCTTATACAATAGTTCAGGGCTCTAAGAACAAAAAGAAAATCAACTTGGGGGGCTGGGATTGTGGCTCAGTGGTAGAGTACTTGTCTAGCATGTGTGAGGTGCTGGGTTCAATCCTTGGAACCACATAAAAATAAAGGTATTGTGTCCAACTACAACTTAAAAGATATTTAAAAAAAGAAAAGAAAATCAACTTGGGTGGGGTCAGCATTTCACCAGAAACATTTACCACTGTAGACGCTTGTTTCTTGTGGGTGCTGGTTATTAATGTTTTGCAGCTAATTCAGAGTTCAACTTGAGTAAAAAGGTGCTTAACTGTTATTTTAATTTGCAGGCAATTTGTTAGTTTAGCATGATTTACCCCAGTGGAAAATAAGAGGTTTTTAGGAATACATAAGTTAATACAAAAATAGATGACTCATTCTTAAAAACATTTATTGACATCTTGTTTTAAAGAGGTTTTGTTTTCTGGTGCAGTTTAAAATTCAGCCTCTTAAATGATTAACTCTTAACTAACAGTATCTGCTTATGGTCTTCATTTCTACATACAGAATGAGTAGCTGGGTTAAAGTGTTTTACTTACCCACTACTGGAATATAGTGGGTAAACACATGCAGAGTTACAATTAAAACACGTTTTTCTAATGATTGTGCATATAAATAGATATACACTACTAGGCGACTACCTTATGGAGTATAAACCAAGTGTTAGATCATATTTTTTTTCCTTGTAAGAATTTGGCTTGTCTGGGGCTCATTGAGTCCAGTTGAAAATGGACCTACCTTGAATTCTAGAGTATACTAACACTTATAAGAAGGGAATGGGTGGGGTGAGAGTGGCCCGTATTTTTGTCTTTTTAAGAGCCTTCTCTTCCAGTATAGTCACCACTTTTTTTTTCTTTTTCTTTTTCTTTTTTTTTTTTTTGCTTTAAAATGGTTGTAGAGGGTGATTTTTACTGTTAGGATTCAAATAAGCTTTAATTGTTAAGAGTTTTAAACAGAACTGTACGATGACATTTTAATTTTATCTGCTTTTCTGTGATTTCTGAGCATGTATCTTGTAAGGTAAGAGATCATTTTAAAGAGATTAAAGTTCTGCTTAGATTTTTAAGTTTCCATCCTTTTACTGTCTAATTTGCTTTTGAAAATTAAGCTTTTACTTGAGGGTATAACCTATTATGAGGTATTACTTCAAATTATGTTCTTATAAATGAATTTAATTTTTTTCTGCTTCCTCTGACATGAGCTTTGGTTCTGTCATTATGATTTCTGCTTCAGTTATTTTTCTAGAGTCTCAAAAGATTTGTCTGAAGTTCTTTGTATTTTCATGTCATGATTGCATTTAAATGGAAAGTTTGCCAGTTCATTAGAAAATGTTCTTTAATATTAACTATCATGCATTATATTCATTGGACCCAGCATGTGAATAGATAAATACTGTTAAGGACCTATATTCAGTTTTATTCTTAAATAACAAACCTAGTACTAACTTCAAAGTTTAAGCTGCCCAAAGCATTCTAATATTTAAGCCACAAATTCATGAACCCTTTGCATTCTCAGCTATCTTAATGACAGTAATTGGGTATGAAAGTTCTTAGGCAACAGTATATGTTTAAGAAATGCAGTTACATTGTTTTGTAAATGTTTTATTCTAATTATGTGTGTTTCTGTTTCTTTTCTTCTTAAGTCTCTTTTGGAAAAATTCTTGATCCCCAATGCTTCACAAGCAGAGAGCAAAGTCTTCTATTTGAAAATGAAAGGAGACTATTACCGTTACTTGGCTGAGGTTGCTGCTGGTGATGATAAGAAAGGTATGTTGTATTTGTTTTAAACCTTTTGGCTGAACTTGTATAAATGTGGTAGTGTGGAAGTAGTTGCCTTCTGAAATAAAAACAATTTTTTGTTGTTTTTTAATTGCTTTAGAGCACTGAACAATGAGCAGAAATGTTTAGGCAGATTTTGTTTTTGAGTGCCGAGAATATATATATCTACTGCTTAATATTGCTATTCTAAAATTATGCTTTCTGAAAAGCAAATTTTGTGTACAAGGATGGTTTTCCAGAATTGGTTCAAAATAATAGAGGCCACAGCATAACTGAGAAGCAGTACAAACTAAGTATTGAAAATGGAACAGTGAGATTACAAGGTTGTTTTGTTTCAAGATTAACAAATAGCTGATCTGATCTAAAAGACCCTCCACCTCAACCCCACCCCCACCGCCTTTTTTTTTTAAGTCTTGTTCAGTTGAGGTCATTACAGATTATGTTTCAGCCAACATACAGGGTATTAAATAAAAGGTTTGGTTCAGGGAGTAAAGATTAAGTGCAGACTACTTTATCATTACATTTTGGTGTTTTATTATCCAGGGATTGTGGATCAGTCACAACAAGCATACCAAGAAGCTTTTGAAATCAGCAAAAAGGAAATGCAGCCAACACATCCTATCAGATTGGGTCTGGCCCTTAACTTCTCTGTGTTCTATTATGAGATTCTGAACTCCCCAGAGAAAGCCTGCTCTCTTGCAAAGACAGTATGTATTTTACCTATTATGTGGAGTTTTACCAATCTTTATTATTTGAGCACTGAAATTTACTTCTTTTTAAATCACAGGCTTTTGATGAAGCCATTGCTGAACTTGATACATTAAGTGAAGAATCATACAAAGACAGCACGCTAATAATGCAATTACTGAGAGACAACTTGACAGTAAGTACAAATAGCATCATTAATGATTAATATGAATGAGGAAATAATTTATTTTTTCCTGACTTATTTTTTTTTAAAAAAGCCCATATGAAGAAAACGGAAATACATTTTCCATTAGTTACAGATCTATTGTAAAATTTTTAGTCCTCAAAATTTTGTGAATCTATGATTTTTAACTTTTAAATGACATTTTCCATTTCAAATCTTGAGTATCTTCATATTACTACGGAACAGTTCAATATCAAAAATAGAGACTGTTAAAATTTCTTCAAAAGTTATTCTTATTAAGTTGCCTCCATATTTGCATAGAATATAATAAGGCACTGATAACATCAGTTGGAATTTTCAGGCACTTTGCAGAATCCAAGTGGAAATCTACTTTGCTTAGTCTCTTACTTTAAAAAAATAAAATGACTTACAGAAGACTATAATTGTCCTAATTATATTCATATTTAGAAAAAGAACCCCAGTACCATCACACAAAAAATGAACAGTAGTTCCTTAAGTGATATTAAATATATAAATCCATTTTCAGTGGTCTCTCTTTTTTTTAACAGTTTTTTATTTGAATTGGGATCCAAATGAAGTCCACAGATAGCAATTAATTTATATGCATCCTTGGTTCTTTAGATTTTTCCATTTTTCTTCTTAAGATAAATATTAAATTTGAAGTTTTGATTCTCAGGTGAAAAAAATTACCAAGTATCTGCTATGTGTCAGGTAGAGGGGTAGAAATTAGACATAGTAGTCTAGAATTGCTAGGTTTTGTTAGTTTTAAGGCATTTCTCTTGGGAACTACATTTTGTTTTATGTTTCAGTTCCAACTTCATTGTAGTCCACTGCCAATTAAATAGCTAAAATTATTTTAGTGAGTGAGTATGATTTGGAGCTGTCTATAAACTCACTGTATTTTATTTAATTGAGTGAGTCAGGCATGGTATCTGCACACCTGTAATCCTAGCTACCCAGGAGGTTGAGGCCGGAGGATTTCTAGTTCAAGGCCAGCCTGAGAAACTTCTCCAAGACCCTGTGTCTTCAAAATAAATTTAATAAAGGCTGTGGGTATAGCTCAGTGGTGAAGCAGTTCCTAGCATGTGTGAGACCTTAGGTTCAATCCCCAGTACCACAATGAATCAACCCAGCCTATTTTCATGTCAAATGAAAGAAACACTTCACTTTATTAGCTAATTTTAATATTAATTTCTTTTTGAGAAGCAGCTTAACAGTTCTTTTCTTGTTGGAAGTGAGATGGAACCTGAATTACTATTTTGTGTTCTCATTACTTTTTCAAGAGGGCCTAATCTAATGTACACATGGCAGCTGAATTTTGGTGTCAGGATAGCTTAAAATGTATACTGACTGCAACAACTGAATAAGAAGAAAGCCAATGTTCCCATTTTGATTGTCACTATTTACTGTTTTCTCTGAGCCTTATTATTATCATCAGCTGATAAAATTGTAGGTTGTTTTGATCAATCCTCAACTGAAGAAATTTTGCACAAACCTAACCTAGTATTYGAGTCTGAATTTGGTTGACCACAATTATCAACATACTATCCCAGAGAACTATCTTGTGTCAAGTTTTTAACATTTATACATGAAATTCAAAATTCCTTGAAGGCTAGAACTAGAAAGAGACCTTAGAGACAGTTTCATCATGTCCTACGAAACTCCTATTGATATAACAGGAGCACAGGTTATAAAAGGTCATTTGGCTAGCTGTGTGACCTTGGAAGTAGTCCCATTTCCAGGCCAGAGATATATTTGATTAATAAATAAATGAATTAATGGAATTTTTTTTCACCTGTTGCAGGACAGTAATAATAGTGAAAATGTTAATAACAATCTACAACACTATGAAACAAGTTTTGTTTTTGCCTCTTAGAATATTTGATTCTGACCATACTATTTGGTTCAGCATTCATTTTGAGTCATATAAATAGATAGTATGTTTTTCTAAGCTAAAAATGTTAGAAAAGCTAAATTTGCAGTTAACCCAGAGTTGATACTGATTGGACTTTTATATGGTGTAGGATTTTCTTTGGAGTGGGAGGTCAGTCAAAGATCTATGAGGGGAGAGTAAACAGCCTCATTTCCTTGAACATGGGCCAAGTTAGGTTAATTCTGCTTTAGTTGCACTCAACAAGTATATATATACATCTCAGATTGGGGCTTTTCTTCTGGACAAGATATTTTGATAGTTTTTGATTCTTCATTGTTTTGTTTTAATTGATTTCTTCTACTTCACCTTTTATGAATGACAAAAGTTTGCTACATCTGACTTTGTTATTTGAAGACAACTGTGTTGTATATGTATCATGCTTACAAAGATGAGTAAGGGGGAAATAAATGTATTATGTTGAAGTGTGTTTGAAGCTGCTTTCAGTAGAGCTACCTTTTTAAGAATGCTCTTCAACTAAAACACATGGTTACATGCTAGGACTTGGCATACATATGAAAGTTTTCCCTTTTCTCCAAACTGAAACATGCTGAAAAACCTTTTCCTCCTTTTTTTTTTTTTTTTAACCAGTTGTGGACATCAGATACCCAAGGAGACGAAGCTGAAGCAGGAGAAGGAGGGGAAAATTAACCGGCCTTCCAACTTTTGTCTGCCTCATTCTAAAATTTACACAGTAGACCATTTGTCATCCATGCTGTCCCACAAATAGTTTTTTGTTTACGATTTATGACAGGTTTATGTTACTTCTATTTGAATTTCTATATTTCCCATGTGGTTTTTATGTTTAATATTAGGGGAGTAGAGCCAGTTAACATTTAGGGAGTTATCTGTTTTCATCTTGAGGTGGCCAATATGGGGATGTGGAATTTTTATACGAGTTATAAATGTTTGGCATAGTACTTTAGGTACATTGTGGCTTCACAAGGGCCAGTGTTAAAACTGCTTCCATGTCTAAGCAAAGAAAACTGCCTACATATTGGTTTGTCCTGGTGGGGAATAAAAGGGATCATTGGTTCCAGTCACAGGTGTAGTTATTGTGGGTACTTTAAGGATTGGAGCACTTACAAGGCTGTAGTAGAAACAGATATCCCATGGATCCTACATGTGTGAATCATGTATTTCTGTGGAATAGTCAATCTCAGTGTGCACAACTTTGACTACAGCTGCACAAGTGCTCCTTTAGACAAAGTTGTGACCCAATTTACTCTGGATAAGGGCA